GACTTAGTGTGAATCTGGTTGTGGTTTTATCTGCAACTTATGTGGAGTTGGAAGACTAAAGTTTTATTTTTCCCTTCCTTACTTCCTGGTCTGGGGCCAGATGGAGAGATTCCTGCTGTGTAAAAACTCAAGAGATGGGATATCCATTTAAAAGGAAAAATGGCCTCTGGTTCATTCTAGGCACACCAGATACCTAACTTCAAAAACTAAGCAGTTGATAAATCCTCAAAAAGCAATGACTTTTCTGTATGCCAACAATGAGAAAAATGTGGCGGAAATCAGGAAAACAACTCCATTCATAATAGTCCTACAAAAAATAAAATACCTAGGAATTAACTTAACCAAAGAAGTGAAGGACCTCTATGATGAAAACTTTAAAAACTTGAAAAAGGAAATCAAAACAGAACTTAGAAAGTGGAAAAACCTCCCATGCTCCTGGATTGGAAGGATCAACATCGTGAAAACGGCCATACTTCCCAAGGCTACCTACAAATTCAATGTGATACCTATCAAAATTCCAACCTCATTCTTCAAGGAAATAGAAGAGGCAATCCAAAAATTCATATGGAACAATAAAAGACCCGAATAGCAAAAACAGAAAGAACAGTGCTGGAGGAATATCAATACCAAATTTCAAACTCTACAACAAAGCCTTAGTAATCAAAACAGCTTGGTACTGGCACAAGAACGGACCTCATGGCCAATGGAATAGACTAGAAAACCCAGAAATGAACACACAGACCTATAGCCATCTAATCTTTGATAAGGGAGCTAAAAAAAAATAGAATGGAAGAAAGACAGCCTCTTCAGTAAATGGTGCTGGCAAAATTGGTTAAACGCTTGTAGAAAACTAAAGCTAGATCCTTATATATCACCCTGCACCAGAATCAACTCCAAATGGATCAAAGACCTTGGAGTCAAAGCAGTCACTCTGAAAACATTACAGGATGGAATAGGAGAAACCCTAGGTCTCCTTGGCACAGGCTGAAATTTTTTTAGAGACCCAGAAACACAACAAATCAAAGAAAGGTTGGACAAATGGGATTGCATGAAGTTGCAGAGCTTCTGCATGGCAAAGGACATAGTTAGCAAGATCAAAAGAAAGCCCACAGATTGGGAGATGATCTTCACTAGTCATACAATGGACAAGGGTCTCATATCTAAAATATACCGGGAACTCAAAAAATTAAATCCCCCAACAACAAATCCTCAAAGAAACAACTGCCCAATAAATAAGTGGGCCTAAGACTTAAAGAGAAACTTCTCTGAAGAGGAAAGAAGGATGGCCAATAGACACATGAAGAAATGCTCAACCTCCCTAGCCATAAAATAAATGCAAATCAAAACAACACTGAGATACCACCTCACCCCAGTTAGAATGGCTAGAATCAAGAACTCTAATAACAACAGATGCTGGAGGGGATGTGGACAGAAGGGAACCTTACTTCATTGTTGGTGGGAGTGTAAACTTGTTCAACCACTTTGGAGACTCCACATAGAGTTCCCCTATGACCCAGCAATCCCACTTTTGGGCATTTACCCGAATGATCACAAACAAGACCATACTAAAGCTATCAGCACAACTATGTTTATTGCAGTGTTATTTACCATATATGGAACCAAGCCAGATGCCCTTCAGTAGATGAATGGATCAAGAAAATGCGGTATATATACACAATGGAATTCTATGCCTCCATCAGAAAGAATGACATTGCCCCATTTGTTAGGAAATACAAAGACTTGGAAAAATTATATTAAGTGAAGTAAGCCAGGCCCAAAGAAACATAGGTCCCATGATTTCCCTTATTTGCAATAACTAGTATATGTCTGAGCCAAGCAGAAATGGTCAAATAAATTGATGTTAGGTGAAATGAACCCTAAGGACTCAAATGGCTTTTCTTTCTTGCGATTGTTTCTAACATATTTATAAGATTATTTCTTTGTTGCTTTGTATGTCCCTCCCCCACAGTATAACCCCTGCTTTCACTGTATTTGATGTTGGTACACTTTGTGGAGGGGAAGGGAAAAAACAAATTGTTTAAATAGGGATACAGGTGGACCCATTGCAACAATGAGATGTACAAGTTGTTATGTTGAAAAACGAACTTTACAACTTTGGCACAAGAGGGGGGGGGTATGGGGGAAGAGAAGATGTGAAGGGATGGGAAGGGGAAACAAAGGAGGAGGCAACAATGCTTGATAAGAAATGTACTCATTACCTTGCTCATGTAATTGTAACCCCTCGCTACGGTGTTCTCACAATTAAAAAAAAACAAAACCCAAAACAAAAACTAAGCATCTGATCCCAAGTTTACCCATTTTGTTTTCTTTTCCCTAATAAGGAAAGGTAAGAAGCAGGTCCTTTTTCTTGAGGCCTCCTTTGCCATTTCCATCTGTGTTGTCACCATCTCATGTGTCTTTTCCTTGGCTGGGTGTTAGCCTTATCACTGGTATACACTTTACTATCTTTCTCATATGAGCTTCTCTTCAGTCTCTCAGCAGCCACCGTGATACCCCTGTGATGACCAATACTTAAATAATTGTAATATTTCTGAGTGCTTATTTTACTCTTCCTGATGCTTAGATGAATACAGTTAGCCATTTCAATAATACAATCACAGTATCACTCTTTTGTTTTCATTTGCTGTTTATTTATTCTTTCTGAAATCTCTTCAGCCCTGCTGCGTGGTGGGTAGGGGAAGCTTGGGGGGATATATGGAGAATTAAATGTGGCTATTGAGGATCAGTTTATAATTTAATAATATAACTTGTGTAATGATGGGAGCTGGAGGACAAGTTGAGTAAGACTTCTCAGAATTTTATTAGAGTAAATAAAAATATATCTTTATAGAAACTTCTTTCCCTATTGGTATTCTTCTATAACAATTTATCTTAATGGCTATAGTCGTTAATTTGTTTTAACCTAATGCTGATTTTATAGTTCTTATTAACATAGAATGTATTTTTTTGGTGCCATTTTGGTGGTGTTTTTTCTTGGGGCTTGAACTAAGGCACGCAGGCACTGTTCCCGAGCAAGCTTCTTTTGCTCAAGGCTAGCACTCTACCATTTGAGCCACAGCTCTACTTCTGGCTTTCTTAAAGGGGTTAATTGAAGGTAAGAGTTTAATGGACTTTGCCATGACTGGCTTTGAACCCCAATCCTCAGCCTCTCGAGTAGCTAGGAATACAGATGTGAGCCACTGGTGCCTAGCTCATAAAATATATTTTAAAATTAGTGATTTTTTTTTCAGTATTAGGCTACTTAAATTATTCACTTACATCTCTGAACCTACAAATTAATGTTTTTCTTAATCTATATTAATAATCCTGTATTACAGATTTTAGGTCAGGAGGGAAAAAAACTGGGAGAAAATGAGGGAAGAGGGGACACTGTTCAAAAAGAAAAGTACCTTTACCTGACTTCTGTAACTGTAACCCCATCACGTATACAATAAAAAAATTTAAAGGCAAGAACAATGCTAGACAACTGTGAATGAGAGAAGAAAAGAAGAAGAAGAAGAAGAAGAAGAAGAAGAAGAAGAGGAGGAGGAGGAGGAGGAGGAGGAGGAGGAGGAGGAGGAGGAGGAGGAGGAGGAGGAGGAGGAGGAGGAGGAGGAGGAGGAGGAGGAAGGGGAGGAGGAGAAGGAGTAGGAGGAGGAAGAGGAGAAGGAGTAGAAGGAGGAGGAGGAGGAAGAAGAGGAGGAGGAGGAGGAGGAGATAATAATGAAGGATGAAGAGAAGGAACTACTTTGTTGAATGGCAACTCATTTGTACAACTATTAAAGACAAAAATGTCCAAAATTTATGCAGTATTGGTATATTATTAAGTGAAGAAAGTGAAAATGCATAAACTTTTTTTTTTTTAAAGAGGAGAATCTCTGCTTCCATAGTGCTGAGGTTACAGACATGTACCATCACTCCTGGCTATTACCCTATTTAGAAAAGATATTTTTCCCTCCTCAAAACAGGTGCAAACATTCATTCTTATATTACGTGGAATTTGGAAATGGAAACTATTCTTGACATCATCGAAGCAGGCATCATTCTCATTGTATAAATAAGGGGAAGGGCCAGTATGATTGACAATACTGAAGGAAGTGGGAGCTAGGAAAAATTATTAAATAGATATTTTCCCAATAACTACATACAGTTCAATGAAATTTTAGTTATGCCGACAGTTGAGAGCTTCAGGAATAAAAGCGAAGGAATTTCTTCTCTTTGACTTATACTAGCCAATTAAAGGATAGCTCAAAATGACTGCTTTGCAGCTGCAGATTCCACTTTAGTTCAAGGTAGGTAAAGACAGCAAATGTGTACCCAACACAGTGCCAAGGGAAAAATGTCTACTACAAGAGTTCCAACAGTGAAGTGGCAGGCTGATGTGAGATGCCCGAGTTAGTAGCACACCCACTTGGAGGCCCAATCTAGCCGGAGCCCACTAGACCATCTACATGGGTTGCATGTGGCATCTTTTTCATGCCTCACCCTGAAATTCCACCTATCCTGGGATGGTCTGGAAGGAGGCCAGAGAGGGTGTGGAGCAGTGTGCATTCATTCCTCCTCTCTTCTTCTCTTCTCCAAGAGGCCACACCCCACACAAGGCCCTCACTGTGTCTTGGGCAACAGTAGTCCCATAGTTTTATGCCGGCTGCACCCTCTTTTATACTTCTTCTTTTTAAAACAGCCTCTCCTAAGTTGCCCAGGCTCTTTCTAAGCTCTTGAGTTAAGAGGATCTTCTTGTGCCAGCCTTCCCAGCCTTCTGGGCCCGGCTTTCAGGAACCGCTCCTAAGAAGCTAGCGGTTCTGTCTCCAAGCACCTCACCCCAGGCCAGGTGGGTCAGCACAAGTGCGAGAAGGCCCAGAGCGCTGAGCCGAGCGCTCTAGGACCGCGCAGGCGCCGGGGGTCCTTCTCACGCAGGGCGGCGCACCTGGAGGCGGAGCCAAGCCGGAGCCACGCCCACCCTCGGGGTGCGAAGCCCCCTCCCCGCACCCCTCCCAGCACGCCGCACAGGCGCGCAGGTGCGTGAGGCGGCGCCCGCCCGGCACCCTGCAGACGAGGGCCCGCCATGGAGCACATCCGCACGCCCAAGGTTGGTGGCGGGAGAGGAGGAGGAGGGATGCTGAGCGCACCGGAGGCCGCCTTCCCGGCGGGGAGCTGGCGCTGCTGGACCGCGGGCGGGCGAGGGAGGAGCGGGCGGCGCCTGAGCATCTCCGCGTCGCTAGGAGGCCGGCCTTCCCGCTCCGGTCGCGCAGGCCTAGCGTTAGCTGCTGGGGCGCTAACCTCTTGTCCTTGGGGGTGCACAGTGTGCGTGCGTGTGTGTGTGTGTGTGTGTGTGTGTGTGTGCGCGTGTGCGTTGGACTGGGGACCCCGACTGCTGAGTAACAAGCTGTTAAACGTCCTCATCTGGCCTAGTCCTGGGCTTTAAAATTTGTATTTCTCTTTTCAAGGTCTGGTCAGTTAGAAGGGAAATCGGCCTTTGAATGACAGGTGCCAGGAAAGCCAGCGGAGGGCACATGGATTGAGTGCTCTGGGGAGCTTCTTGTCTGTAGGGCCTCAGGTTCACCCAGCACCTCCTCCTGGCCCTTGCCCATCTCCAGGCCAGGAGTGGTGAAGCACCTTTCTAACACAGCAGAGGCCCAGTGGTCGCTGTAGATGGCATGATGGTGGGTTTTTGTTTTTGTTTTGTGTTTTGCCTCTTCCTGTTTGTTTAATTCCCTGGGGAGGGCATGCAGCATGTAGATTCTTCCCTTCATATACCTCTCTCTCTCTCACACTGTATATGAATACACACACACGCACACGCACACATATACCCGTCTATATGTGTGTATTTATATGTATATATTTGTGCAAATGTATCAATTCCAAATATTTTATTATTAAACTCAACACATTATTGTTGTTTTTAAATTCAGTGCATCCAGTTAATCAGACCGGTCCGTTTTAAACCACACCAGCTCTTGCCACTCAACAAAAGTAACTGGACCCCCGATCACCCAGTTAAATAACGCAGGAAGCATCTGCTACTGTAACAAAACATTCCTACACATAGTTGTAATATAATTTAAAATGAAAACAATCATTATCATTCCTAACAGATTTAAAAAAAAAACCTCTAGGGTAACGAAAGAATACATTTAAAAATCCTATTGGCTATCTCTTTGTTACTACCTTCACAACCCCTTAAGTTTCCATGGTGATATGGTATTCAAAATCTAGGCCCTGACAGAGTTTGTCAGAGTTGTATCTGGATAGAGATCTGGTGATCCCAGGGATGCTACTGATTCCGTGATAAGGCAATTGCTTTGCTTTATATCCAGCAAAATAATGTTTGCCTATATTCTGGAATAATACCACCTTGTTAATGCTCCTTTAAAGTTAACCTATGTCAGTGGAAGAATTCATTTTTTTAGTTTTCTGGAGACAGTCAGTTCCAAAAGTAAATTTAAATTTAATTGACTTTGGACCATGGAATTAAATAGTTGCTTCACAGTCAGGAAGTTGTAAACTTAGAAGACAGTGCCATAAACCACAAGAAGGGTGGCTTAAAGCTTTTAGGGTTTAAGTGGTACTAAATAATTTATTCCAGGATGACAAATATAACTCATGGAGTTTCTCCGCCCTTGCCAAAGGCATCTTTTCTTTTTTCATAATGAGGAGGACCATTTGTAAAAATGTCATCAAATGTGCATATCAGCAGCAAGACTGATAGGAGACACATCATGAATGTCATTTTTTTTTCTTTCCTTTCTTTTTTTTTTGGGGGGGGGGGTCTGGTCGTGGGGCCTAAACTCTGGGCCTGGGCGCTGTCCCTCAGCTCTTCAGCTCAAGGCTACCGCTCTACCACTTGAGCCACAGCTCCACTTCTGGCTTTTCTCTTTTTGCTTATGTGGTGCTGAGGAATCGAACCCAGAGCCTTATGCATACAAGGCAAGTACTCTACCACTGAGCCACCTTCCCAGCCCCAGTCATTTTTCTTATAGAACATGAATTTTGGAGTAGTAAAAGGCTTTTCTAGTCCATATTCCAGTTCATCCTAGAACAAGCCTTAGTAGCAAGCAGTATTACTTATTCTTAAAATTGTTTTTCATGGATACCTTCAAATCAGTATTGCACCTAAGAAATCCCTTTCTGTTCTTGAAATGGAAAGAAATTGGTGTGTGTGGAGAATTGTCTGACATGTCATTAAATTGCAGGGTTGTTAACGTTTAGGAGGATGCAGATTGGATGAATGAGATTCGTTTGTTTATTCATTTTGTCCCACAATCATTTGACAATCATATGTCAGGCTCAGTGTGAAATGCTGGGAGCACCAAGCATATAGGAATTCACAGCCTAGAAGGATGCCAGCCATAAATAAGTCATTATATGATAGAGATATGTACAAAGTACAGCAGGTAGAGAAGGCAGAGTGGAAAGAAGATCAGCTCTACCATGAAGAGCAAAGGCAGAGCTGAGTGGTAACTTGGAGACCAGAGGACTAGGAGACCTCTGCCATGTCATTGTATAAATCTATAATAAATGGTCACAACCTCAAAGAAGCTGATGGTATGAACAGTGCTTAAAGTTAATGATTCCTTGGGGATAGTCAACATCCTGTTTTTGTTTTGCATTTTAAGTCAGCAATTAATTTTCACTATCAATAAAAAGAGAGTAAGACTACTTTCCAAGTATGTGTTGTAAAACACGCAGTTGCTAGTGGTCATAATTCATCCTTTTATTTGCTCCTATATACTCTGGGGGAACAGAATAGAACATTCTCTTTTGATCTCATGGTCTCATGTCTTGGGTTAGTAGGAGGGTATGCAGTTTGTTTATCTGACACACTGAGTTTCAAGTGGTATTTACCATGGAAACAGCAGAATTTTATTTTAAGAGGCAAAGAAATGTATGTGTATGTAATACACAGTTGCTCTCTCTTTACAACAAGGCAAGTCATTCATTGACTCTTTGAAAATTGTACAGTAGCCATCACAGCCTCTGTTCTGTGCCAGTCTCTGGAGTGCAGTTTAAGGAAACACATGGTCACGAATAATTTGGAATGCTGTGTACACATTTCTTTCCTTGTGTATGTCTTTGTGTTTAACTGAAGCTTTTAATAGAGCAGATACCCAGCAGTCAGAAGAGTATTTCTCTCCCAGGATAGTTTTCCAATGACAGGCTATTGGGAGGAAGTGAGGACATGACACAAAGTATTACCTGAATTCAGCACAGTGAGGTTTTCCTCTGCTCCTTCACCACCAGGCCTCTTCTACCACTCTGACCTCATGACAGTAAGAAATTGTTTTGCTGGAGGCTTCAAATGATTTGAGTTCAAGTACTACTTACTTAAATGAAAAGACTTCAGAGCTCCTAGAAGTAGTTGAAGTGTTTGTAGGATTTAGTTTGGTACTGGACTGATGCTAATGTATCTGGGATCCTCACTATGTAAGCTTTTCTTTTTCTGGAACCAAGAAAATGTGAGAATTTGAGTTAGTAAATAGAATAAGTGGTCATCTATAATATAGACCTTGAAAATGTCTTCTCGATCTTATTCCTCTAGTCTGCACCGACATTCTCTGAGCCTCTTAACTGGTCTCCTCATTTACTCTTTAGTTCTTAAATCCCTTTCCACAGAAAGGCCTGGGTGGTACTTCTATGACACAAGGTTATTTCTCTGCTGAAATTCTGGGCTTTTCTAGCAACCCTAGATATGAAGTGAGAATTTCCAAGGAGGAGTATGGGGCCATGTGTGGACTGATCCCATCCTCCCTCAATAGCATCTTTTTTTTTTTTTTTTTGGAGGGTCCGGTTATGGGGCCTGAACTCTAGGCCTGGGCACTGTCCCTCAGCTCAAGGCTAGTGCTCTGCCACTTGAGCCACAGCGCCACTTCCGGCTTTTCTTTTTTTGCTTATGTGGTGCTGAGGAATCGAACTCAGGACCTCATTCATGCAAGGCAAGCGCTCTGCCACTGAGCCACCTTCCCAGGCCTCAATATCATCTTTTTATGACCATGTTTACTTAACTAACCATCTGATGGAGTCTTGATAGTTTTCTTAAATGCAACAGTGTCTTCCCTGTCTCAGGACTTTTGCATTGCTGTTCTACCTGGGGAAAAACTAATCCTCCGTCCTCACCTACAAAGTTGTTCATGTTCATAGTTTCAGATTAAATATAATTTCATTAAAGAGGCTGTTTCCTTCCTGTCTAAATCAGACCTATTTGTTGTAGTTTATCATGGAACCTTATGTTTTTCTTTTATGTTCTTCACTAACAATTGTTTTATTTATTTGACCAGTTATTTGTTTGATGCAAGCTCCTTCCTTAACTGGGAGCCCTTTGAGGGCTAACTTATAGCTTCTAATACAGATTGGCACCAAGGAAGCATGCCGCCAATAATAATTGAAGGGATGATCAGTTCTTAATTTAGTACTTCATTTTCTAGAATTTTTTTTTTTGTAATTCAAAGTATATTTTACCTACTTAGCAGTATTATGGATCCTCTAACAGGACTTAACAAGTATTAGATATCTATGGTTGTCAAATCTTTTGGGTGCCTGTGCATGTATGTGTGTGTGTTTGTGAATGTAAGTACTCGAGGTTTGAACTTAGGGCTTGGGCACTGTTCCTTTTTTGCTCAAAGCTAGTGCTCTGCCACTTGAACCACTTCTTGCTTTTTGCTGATTAGTTCAAAGTAAGAGGCTGACAATCTTTCCTGGTCATGATGGCTTTGAACTGTGATCCTGACAGATCTCAGCTTCCTAAGTAGTTAGGATTGTAGACAGTTAAAATAGGATTCACCTGGGCACACGTGGATCATGCCTGTAATCCTAGCTACTCAGGAGGCTGAGATCTGAGGATCACAGTTTGAAGCCAGCCTGGGCAGGAAAGTCCATGAGGTGCTTATCTCCAGTTAACTACCAGAAAACTGGAAGTGGCACTGTGTTCAAGTGGTAGAGCGCCAGCCTTGAGCTGAAGAGCTCAGGGACAGTGCTCAGGCCCAGAGTTCAAACCTCATGACTGACAAAAAAAAAGTTTATAAAAATAAAATGTAAGTCAATATATTTCATATAATGTATACTATATGCATATTACAATTTTATTAGTTA